ACGCTGACAAGGACGGCCAAGCCCGTCTAGCAGTTGATGCCCGTAGCATCCACACCTGCCACAAAACCACAATCTCAGTCCACTGTGCCACTGCATTCGATGAGAGGAGTCAACAAAGCCCCCCGCTATATGCAACGGGGCTTGGGGGGGTTTGTTGAAAATCACTCCGTTATAGTTCAGGGGCTCGAAACAGGGTGACTGACGCCAGAGGGTGGTCCGCGCCTTTGTGGCCGAGCCTCCACATCGAGTACACCTGCGCCCTGTCTCATCAAGGCAATGGTCGGTAGAGAAGAGGGAGAGAGAGGCAGCAGAGGGGGGCGAGGGGGCAGGGGCGACCTTTTTCCCACGAGGCACAACTCTATTTTCAGCTTCGGCATCGCAGGCATCTAAGGTGGCCCGCAAAATCCGCATGCGTACAAGTCGAGCTCTGCGCTCGTGCCACAGAACATTCGATCGCACATCCTGTGAAACTCTCGCCTCCTTGGCTGCGAGGCTCGCCACCTCGTCAACTACAGCATTGCTAGTGACCTTCCATCTCGGCGCCACACCCCTCACAATGTCTTGGGCTGTGAGGTGGGAGTGGGTGAAATCAACTGTGCATAGCGGCCTGCGAACCACCCTTTGACTACTGGTTCGCAGTCTGAAATGAACAAAATGAAACCTTTGGTGAGCCAGACCGCGAGCAACAGGGCCCTAAGCTCACCCCATCGCCACGACTTGGCGAGGACCACGCAGAGGGCCGCGTACCGTGCCAATTAGCTCAACGCAGGGCTCCAGCGAGGCAAAAAGGGCCACGGCTACACCGACTCGGCGAAACAGGTTGCTGCTACTGTCGGGCCCTCCACTTGCATCACCGCTGATGAGGAGAGGGCTGTCGATGGAGCCTTCACCCCAGCACCCTGCAGAGACTGCATTGAATCCCTCAGGGGTCCAGCATTCGGTATCCTGTGGCGGGGGTACGGCTGTCCAGGCCGCGGGAAGCATGCCCCTGAGCCAAAACCCCTCATCCATGTCCATCTGCGCTAGGGCCTGCGGTAGCAAGTCCTGTGAGTCATCGTATGCAACCTTCCCTTGGTTGCACTCGCACAGCCAGATGCGGTGCTTTGCCGTCTCTGGCTCCTTGCCGCATCGTGGGCACAAAACGTTGCCATCAAATTTGGCAATCTCATCTTTGCGCCGCTGCATCGGCCAAGAAGCTCCTATGGCACAAGCAAGCATGGTCTCTGACAGACGATGCCCGTGCTCAGGAACAGCCGCCAATTGCTGCAAAAGCACGCGGTACGAGGTCACATCCACACCGCGCTCGAGGCCTGCTCCGCAAAAGTGGCGGCTGGCCTTGACCCACAGCTGGTGCCTGAGCGAGGTGCGGACGTCCTCCAGGAAGACACTGTGCGAGTCGAGGGCCTTGTCGCCCGTGTACATGGCATCGTCGAACCTCCATTCGTCGCCCGCTGCCTCATGGGGTGGTGGTATGGTCCAGGCTGTAGGCTCATCCACACCCCAGCCTGCCTCCAATAGGTGAAGTACTACAGCTGCGAGAAGTCCTCGTACATGGCGAGATCGTTGGCCTTCTGGTATGGACCGAAGGTGCTGTACAACTTGGCGCCAGGCTTGTCGTACTCCAGGTCTGATCTCGGGGCGGTCCCGCCACGTAGTGAGCCACTGGTCCAGGCAGGCTGTGGGCATCTGGATGGCGGGGTCCGCATCAGCAGGAGGAGAAGGAGGAGGAGGTGGTGGCAACATTCTGCACGCAGGCGGCGCCTCGCCGCGAGGACTGGCTTCCACGAGCGTCCCCCTCGCGATGCTGAGGGGCGCGGCCCCGCACATCTGCGACGAAGGGTGGTCGGGCTCCCCCCCGACAGGGACAGGAAGGAAAGGGGGGGAAGAGGAGGCGACAAGGATGCCAGGATGAACTACATGGGCGAAATGCAAAGCGACCGAGGAGTCGCGCGGGAGAAAGGAAGGCCACAAGCCTAATCGGAGGAGGAGGTGGAGGGGGAGGGCGGCGCGGGCCTGGGGGGATGCCAGGATAAAGAGGGAGGGTGCGCAAGAGGAGTGCCGCATGCCCCTCCCTCGCGCGGGCGAGAGGGCCTGCTTCACCAGCCTCGACCCCGATCGCCAACACTTCTCTCGGAGCGCCTGAGGGGCGCGGGGCCGGCACGCTGGGCAATACCGCTGCGGCCGCCGGTCGTCGTCGTCGTCGTCGTCGTCGTCGTCGTCGTCGTCGTCCTCGTCGTCGTCGTCGTCGTCGCCGTCGTCGCCGTCGTCGACCTCGTAGGTCGATCCCCCCCTCCTCCTCCGCATGTTCGTTATCGTCCTCCTCCGCGTTTTCCTCCGCAACATCACCAGCCTCCTGCATATTCTCCTGTACGGCCCCACGTTGGGCCTGGAACAAAACGAAAAAGGATCGCTGAGGTTTCCTCGCCGCGTGTGACCCAGAGGCAAAGGTCTTCCATCAGCGGCGCAGGCAAGAGCGACTCGCTTTCAACATGGCCCTCGCTTCCGCGCCACGTGCGCTCTCAGGTGTTTCCCAAACGTCCTATGGTGTTGGGTCCTGGCTTTGAGGAAGCCGTCCTAGCGCTCAGTCCTTGTCCTCCTCCTCCTCCTCCTCCTCCTCCTCCTCCTCCACCTCCCCCTTCTTCTCCTTCTCCTCCTCCTCCTCCTCTTCGTCCTCCTCCTCCTATTATTCCTCCTCCTCCTCCGCCGCCTCCTCCTCCTCCGCCGCCTCCTCCCGTCATCCTCCTTTTCCCCGTGTCCCTCCTTGCCTCCGCCCTCCGCATCCAAACCTGTTCGGCACACCCCTCACACCTCCGTGGCCTCATAGGGAGCTCCACCAGCGGCCTCAAAGGCATAATCCACATGCGGTCCCTCGCCCATCTCGGTACACCTCTCACACGTTTCGTGCGTCCATAGGGAGCTCCGCCGAAGGCACCCATGGCAAAAGCCACATGAAGCTTCCAGCCCACCTCGGCACACCCTTCTCACATACCTGGCCCCATAGCTCCACCGAGCGCCCCAGTGGCAAAATCGGCATGTCCATATGCTGTTCCCCGCAAGTTTCGGTACACCCCTCACGCGCTTCGTGCGTCCATAGGGAGTTCCACCGAAGGCCCCACTGGCAAAATCGGCATGTCCACATGCGGTTCCCCGTCAATTTCGGCACACCATTCACACGCTTCGTGGCCCAGCACCAGGACACCACGCGGCCTTGCGCAGCATCGGGCTTCACCTTCCTCCCCACGGTGGTGGAAATTCACTGCGGCGGGTGGGGCCGCGAGGCACGCAGGGCTATCGGAGTCCTATCCAAACGGGTGGCTGTCGCCATGTGGCAAACGCCGCAACGGTTGCGGACCAACACGCCCAGCGACTTCCCGTCTCCCTGCGCACGGAGAGCGCGCGGACGAGGCTGCGGCGCCTCCAAAAGCAGTTTGGAGGGGCGGGGATGGCAGCGGCCCTTCTGGCCGCGGCCGCGGTTGCCCCCACGGCGGACGCCGTGTGAGGCGGCCCTGGCGCCGCCCAGCGCCCCCCGCCCCCGTCCGCCAGCGTCGCGCTGGCGGTTCCTCCCCCCCCCCTTCCATGCGCGCCGTCCGGCCCTTCCCCAGCGGGGCTGTGGGTGATCCCGCAGAAGCCCCCCCCCCCCCGCCAAGCCGCAGCGCGCTGGGCCCGGTCGGCCACCCCAGACGCTCGGCTGTCGTTGTCTTCGAAGCGGACGCCTCCATCAGTGAGAAGGTCAATAGAAGGACAGTAGCCTGCAGGGGCTTACAGGATGCGGCGCGTGCCCCTGCCAGCATCCCGTTCCTCCCACCAATTTCCTCCTCCTCCTCCTCCTCCTCCTCCTCCTCTTTTCCCTCTTCCTCCAAGGAGTAGGACAAGGAGCATGAAGGAGACCGAATGAGGAGGAAGAGGATCAGGGCGGAGAGAGGGGGGGGCTAGAAAGCACTCAGACCTCCCCTGCGAAACGCTAGCAGCCTCCTCAGACAATCCCAAGACCTTGTGGCCTCCTCCTCCTCCTCCACCTCCTCCTCCTCCTCCTTCTCCTCCCCTCCTCCTCCTCCCCCCTCCATCCCCCTCCTCCTCCTCCTCCAACTCCTCCTCCTCCTCCTCCTCCTCCTCCTCCTCCTCCTCCTCCTCCTCGTCCTCCTCCTCGTCCTCGTCCTCGTCCTCGCCCTCGTCCTCGTCCTCGTCCTCGCCCTCGTTCTCTTCGACCGAGGGGCTCAGCAACGGATCGTGTCTCTTATATATAGTCGATTGTAATGCGGCCCCCTCGGTTGCTCGCTCAGGGGCCGCGATTGGGACCACTCCCGGGGGGGGGGCGCTTCGCGGGCCTCTGGAAGGGGGCTCTCCGTCAGGACGGGGCCTGGAGCCTACAGCGAGATCCACGTCGAGGTCCCGACCTGCCCCGTTTCAAGGGGGCCACATGCGAACCCTACCCCTCCCCCTCCGACATGGTGGGGGGTAGGGGTAGCGTTCGCATGTGGCCCCCTATGTTTCGGAAGCAGACGGGCTTGCCTGGCTGAGTGACCAGGCCGACCAGGCCGCCGACCTGGCCCGTTAGCTGCACCCTGTCTCCAGACATTTAGCTGGGTGTTCCGTCTGTGTTCCGCCTCCCGTGTGCTCGGGTCAGGACCAGCCCCTCGTGATACAGTCGGGCCGCTGAAGAAGGAACCCTGTTCGTTTGGGAGGGGCTCCGTGTTCCTGAGTTGTTCTACAGCGCTCCTTGGGTTCTCCCCCGGTTTTCCATGGAACATCGGAGTTTCACTTATGGGAAAAAGGGGCCTCGTTCCTTATTTGTCGTTTCTTAGGTCAACTGCCCGACTGTAAATGGAAGGGCCTCAAGCGGCCGCACGGTGGCCGCACGCCAGCCTGTAGGATCGCTCACGAACTCGTCCAGGTCGGGCCGTCCAGATGGCAGTGCAAGCGATATCTGCGGTCGAAATACAAACTGGTTGGTGGGACACCCTAGCTCTGGAGTAGACCCACTCAAAGAAATGGCTACTCAACTTATGGAAACATATGCGGTGCCGCGTTTTAGTTTACCGCATCAAGCGGCAGCGTTGAAAAATGATCAGTAGCAGCCCCAGCGGCACACCCGTGAAGAAGGTGCCCGTGAAAACGGCGCTGGGTGGAAAACGCGGTGCCCCCACGCCCCCGCTGGCAAAAACTCCCCAGAACGACAATCAACAGAAACCCGCAACGGCCTAAGCGCCGCAGCGGCCGGCACCCGCGGAGCCCGTCCAACAACCACGCAGAGAGTCAGACAGTGCCCCGGCCCGTACGGACTGCATGCACAGCGCCACCCCGAGAGTTTTGCGCGGGTGGCGCAGTTGGACCACACCCACGAGAGTGGAATGGTGCGGGCTCGCCCCTCGGCCCGAGGCCGAGGCCGGCGGCACCCTCATTGTTCTGCCGGAACTCCTGCCAGTTACGTATGCCACCTCGAATCAGCCCGTCGCTTTCCCTCCTCTCCTTCCTTCTCCTCTTCCTCCTCCTGCCTCTCCCTCGTCCTGTCAGCTCTTCACCCCTCGCCTTCCTCCATCCCCCTCCTCCTCCTCCTCCTCCTCCTCCTCCTCCTCCTCCTCCTCCTCAGCCGCTGAGGCTGGGTAAAGCCTGCCCCAGCTCCGGAGTGGACGGCTGGCAGCGTGATGCAGCCACCCAGCACCAGATGCGCCGCGCGTCCTTCCGCGCAAGAGCCCCAGGTGTGGCAAGAACGAAGTGATCATCCCGCGCACTGGCCCGCCCCTCTCGGCCCAGATCCACGGGGCATGAGCCTCCGAGCCACAGCCATCGGTTCGCTTGTCTCTGGCCCCCTGTTTCAAGCCAGAAACCAGCTTCGCGCGAACAAAAATCTCATCCCCTCCCTTCTCGTCCTCGTCCTCGTCCTCCTCCTAATCCTCCTCCTCCTCCTCCTCCTTCTCCTCCTCCTCCCTCTTCGGGGAAGCCAGGAGATACCGGTACCGCCACTCCCTGGACCTCTCCCGGGATGTCCTGACGAGAATTTCCGAGCGAATCCAGCGGATGCGACGAAAACGAGGCAGGGCCTCCCGGGAGGCCCAAGAAGCCGAAAGCGAGGCAGGGGCCGCGGGAGGGGCACCTTTTCCTCCTCCTCCTCCTCCTCCTCCTCCTCCTCCTCCTCCTCGTCCTCCTCCTCCTCCTCCTCCTCCTCCTCATCCTCCTCCTCCTCCTCCTCCTCCTTGCCCTCCTCCTCCCCGAATGCCCTTTTCCTCCTGCTCCTCCCCGCGGCAGACGGGCGGGCGGGAATCCTGGGCCACCAGGGGCAGCTCCGAGGGCGGCAGCCGCATCTTGAAGAGGGGCACGGACGCCAGGAACCGGATGGTCCTCTCGTACTTCTCCCGCTGGGACGGCGGGCTCGCCGGACCGCGATCGGCGGTGTGGTCGCGACGGTGGCTTTCCGACTGCCTACCAGACCTTAGTGGGCCCTGGAAACGACAGGGCCGTTTTTTTTCACGATCCGTTCTGCCGTTTTTTTCTGCCGTTTTTTTACCGGTTCCGTCGCCGTTAACTGACCGGTTCCGGCTCCGGTTCCAATCCTGGAGCCGTTTTTGTTGCCGTTTCCGGTCGCCGATTCTTTGCCGTTTCCATTTTCAAGGGACATTTTTCTGGAAACGGTGAAAAAACCGGCCCTGCCGTTTCCATGGCCCACAAAGTACCAGACCACCCCAACCCAACCCGAAGACCCGAATTTCGGGTTGGGGGTAGGTGCGATTCCACATGTGTTTTCCAATGTTCCACGACCCCCCCCCCACTGGAAGCGGAGGGCAAGTTGAGGCCTTCGGGTTGGGTTGGGGTGATTTTGCGGGTGGCGTTCGTGGTCGTAGCCCCAGGTCTCCGACAACGTGGCCGTGTCCGTGCGGGCGCTCCTCCCGGACTGCAGCCCCCGCGGCCACGAGCGTGACCCGGGGACCCCCGGGCATGGATCCGGGACGAGAGGCTGCCCCAGGGGAAGCAGCTGGGACCTCGGGGGTCGCGGATCGGAAAGGTCATGTCGGCGGATGTCAGGGGTTGTCGTCGTCGTCGTCGTCGTCGTCGTCGTCGTCGTCGTCGTCGTCGGGGACGGCGGAGCATGCAAGACATGAGGAGGTGGAGGTCTTCAGAGGGCCTCTGCGAGGCAATTGGGTGTCCTCCCGGGCTCTGGGGGTTAGCCCAAGGGGGGTCTGGGATGCGCAAGAGGAGGAAGGGGGCGGTGCTTGCTGTGCGGGCCCTGCTGTACCAAGTGCGGGCCCCTCTAAGGAGGATGAGGACAGCAGTCCTCTTTTGCCTCTACGCGGGCGGTGTGCCGCGGGTGGGTGGGGACTCCTCCCCCGTTCGTGGTTCTGCTGCAGGAGGAGGAGGCGGAGGAGGGAGGAGGCAGGAGCAGCAGCGGGAGGGCGGACGAATGAGGGGGGGACATCAGGGCGAAGGGCCTGGGGAGGACGGAGGAGGGAGGAGGACGGAGGCAGAACAAACAAGGAAGAGCAGGATGAAGAGGCGGCGGTTGACGATGTTGACGCCGACAGCGACAAGACGCATACGCCGACGACGATGGCAATAACGGCCCGAAGGCCCATTGCAGCGGGAGGAGGAGGAGATGGGGAGGAGACGGTTGAGGATGTTGGCGCCGATGGCGACGACGACGAATAGGCCGCGAACGACGATAACGGCCCATAGGCCCATGCGGCGGGCGCCAAGCCATGGGGGTCCCGCAGTCAACATTACTCTCCTCAGCCCCGTCCATCAACTTGCTACTCCTCCTCCCTCATCTACCGCGTGATCATCATCGCCTCTCCGTCCCCCATCGATCCTCTAGACCCTCCGAGACCCTTGTACAATAATCAATCATCTATCCTTTCCCTTCTCCCCCTGCCCCGCTGCCCGCCCATCTCCTCCCTCGCCTTGCTCCTTCCCATCCCTTTCTAAACCTCCTTATCACCATCACTCACCGTCCTTCTTTCCCACTGTGACCCCCTGAGACATCCGAGAAACTCGTAGAAGAACAGGCAGCAACCCTCATCGCAAGCCCTTAGATTCCTCAAATCCTCCTCCACCCTTTCCCTCCCCCTGTCCCTCGCCATTCTTCCTTCCTCCCTCCTCCCTCCTCCAGCCTCCTCCTCCTCCTCCTCCTCCTCCTCCTCCTCCTCCTCCTCCCCCTCCTCCTCCTCCTCCTCTCCTTCTCCACTCCTCTCAACTCTCCTCCTCCTCCTCCTCCTCCTCCTCCACCTCCTCCTCCTCCTCCTCCTCCTCCTCCTCCTCCTCCTTCGCCTCCACCTCCTCCCTCGCCGCCCTCCTCGGCCAACTCCCCTTCTCACTCCTCCTCCCCCCTCCCCGCCGCCCTCGGACGACACGGCGAGCGCGACCACGACCGCGACGACGACGACGGGCCTCGCGAGCGAGGCCTCCCGGACCGGGGGGCCACCCACGGAGAGGAAGGGGCCAAAGGACACACAAACAAATATGCACACAAAGGACAATAACTCCCAATCTTTTCCAATATTTGTTTTGGGTTTCTTGTCTTCCCCCCCCCCACTTCCCATATTTTTCCCGATCTTCCCCTGGGGATCGACGATGAACTGTGCCTGTGTGATTCTTCCCCTCCTGAAGAAAAAAGGGAGGAGGGGGGTGGCGTCGCGGCCTCGTCCTCGCGCCCACAGCTCTTCACCCGGCGCAGGAGCTGCCGGGCGGCCGCGCGCCGTCGTCGCCGCCGCCGCCCCGCCGCCCGGACCGGCGGCGGATGCGGGCGGCCATCGGCGGCCTCGCCGTCGCTGCCGCCCTCGCGACCGTCGTCGGGGGAGGGCGGCGAAGGCCTGGGGGGGGTAAGGGGGGAGGAGGAGGAGGAGGAGGAGGAGGAGGAGGAGGAGGAGGAGGAGGAGGAGGAGGAGGAGGAGATGGTTGGGGGGGTGGCAGAGGGAGGGGAGATGTCGATTGCATGTCTCGTGCACGTTTCCGACAACGCTGACCGTTGCCGGTGAGGCCTCCGAACGTTTGAACTCTGCCATGCTCGACAGCGGCGCCCATCGCCACGCAGGGCCACGCAGAATTCGGCGACGCCTTCGACCACGGCTCGGCCACAACAATCACGACGGCCACGTCGGTCACATCCACGACGATCGCGACGACGAGCACCAACATCACGACGAGCGCCACGACGGCCACGACCACCGACACGATCGTTACCACGACAGCGCCGACGACCACACGACGGCCACCACAACGACCCTGCCGAGGGACGCAGAGGGCGGCGACGGCGGCAGGGGCACCAAGATCTGCTGCGAACCCCTCCCCAGCCGACCTGGACCAGGCTTTCGATCGGCGCCGCACCCGGGGCGGAAGGCCGAGGGGGCGGGCCTTCCGAGAGGGCGGCGGGGCGTCCCGGAGGGGCCCTCGCGCCCTCTCGCGGGGCCGCCCGTGGCTGGAGCCAGAAGGCTCAGAACGCCTGGGGCCTCTTGTCAGCGGGCGAAGAACGGTAGAAGATAAACTTTTTCGCTGTCGGGGGCGCCTGTCCCAGGGCGGCTGGGAAGTTTGTACCCCTACGGTGCCACCGTAAGGGTCTAAACCTTCCAGCCGCCCTGGGACAGGAGCCCCCGACAGCGAAGAAGTTTATTGTATACCGTTCTTCGCTCGCTGATTCTGAACCTTCCCAGGGGGGCCCGCCCGCTCTGCCTTCCCCCTTGGGCGCGCCGAAGGCTCGAGCACCTCCTGGAGCGAGCGACGTCGACGCCGACAGCCGCGGCGGCGGGCGGCGAGGGGCGAGTGGGAGGTCTGGCCCTGCCGCAGAGGTCCAGGACGTCTGGGCAGCAGCAGGACTCCTGGGCCGCGCACCTGGCGGCGGGGGGGGGAGGCCACCGCAGTCCTTCCCCTGACCTCTTCGCGCCGGGGCCGCAGCTCGGCCTCGCTCGGACGTTCATTCCCCGCATGCATGCTTCGGCCTCGCGCGTGCTTTTTTGTTGCCCGGTCATCCAGGATGCTGCTCCATGGCCCTCGCCGAAAGGAAAACGCACACGTCCGAGCAAGGCAACAGAACGGCCCGGGATGAACAGTACGGTACTGGGGGAGTGGTCCACACCTATCTGGGGAGCCGCGCCGCGAACAAAAATCGTGAGGATGTCTGTTGTAGAAGGAAAAACGAAATCAGCATAAACTTTTGGCGCTCCGCGCGGATTTCTTGGATCTGCGCCAGGGACGGCGCCGGAGGCGCCGCCAGGGGGGCCCAGCGCAGATCCGAGAGCCGCACTGACCCGCAGGGACTCGTACTCACAAGGTAGCGAGCCTCTCTTACGGGGCCACCTCGGAGCTCACCCCTTGAAGCTTCGGGGTATGCTCCCTGCCGGCCCTGGTGAGAAGCCAGGGCTGTTGCACAACCAAATCGCAGGGGATTCTGCAGACGCGCGCAAGGCACCAGTCTAGGTGTGTTGACGTGGACCCCCCTTGTGCGGATGTCCTGTCCTGTGCTCCTCCTCCTCCTCCTCCTCCTCCTCCTCCTCCTCCCTCCTCCTCCCCCTCCTCCTCGAGTCTGGGCAGGTCGCCGTCGTCGGCGGCAGCGGCGGCAGCAGCTGCTGCTGCCGGGGCCTGCCCGGCAGCCGCGTCCCCCGGGGGCTGGCTACCGGGAGCGCGCCGCTCTCGAGACCCGCGGGGCCCCCCTGCCGCGGGGCAGAATCTCGGCGCCCTCCTCGCGGAACTCTTCGGCGGCAGTTCGTGGAGGAGGAGGAGAAGGAGGAGGAGGAGGAGTAGGAGGAGGACGAGGAGGAGGAGGAGGAGGAGGAGGAGGAGGAGGAGGAGAAGAAAGAGAACGAGGAGGAGGACGAGGAGAAAGAGGAGGAGGAGGAGGAGGAGGAGGAGGAGGAGGAGGAGGACGAGGAGGAGGAGGACGGGGTGGGGGTGGGGCGCAGAGCTGGCGGATCGGCGCCACATCGACGCTGGCCCGACGCGAACCGGCGCTAGATCGACGCCGACCGACGCTGAATCGACGCCAGGTCGGCGCCATCTCGTCGGCTCCCAGACACGCCAGTCGACGCTAGCCGATGCTACACAGAAAGCTACGAGGGTACACGAGGCTTCCATGATTTGCTACGGGGTCACTCTCCCTCGCGTCCCCTGGACCTGCCCATGTACGAGCAACCCAATGAGGGGCAACGATAGGGGGGGCTGGCATAGGGGGGGGGACATCAACCTTGAATCGGCGATGCATCGCCGACAGATCGGCGGTATGCCCCCGCGATAGTAGATCCGCACGCTCCTGGCCAGGTTGGTGCCACCGGAGCCCTCTCGGCGATCAATGGGCGATTTGGGGGTCGATGCAGCTCCCCTATGCCTATCCCCACTCCCCTACAGTATTCGGCCTGACCCAAGGGAACGATAAAGAAGGAACGAAGCCCCTCTTTCCCAAGTAAGTCTGTTAAGTTCGAAGGAACGCCAGAGGGGTTCGCCGCCAAGAAGGTAGCGGAACGCACGCAAACCACAGGAACGACCGAGCCCCTTTTGAAAAGCAAGTGTTCCTTATTCAAGCCGGACCCTGTACCGTTGCCCTCCTCCTCCTCCTCCTCCTCCTCCTCCTCCTCCTCCTCCTCGTCCTCCTCGAACTCCTCCTCGTCGTCCCCCTCCTCCTTCTCCTTCTCCTCCTCAATCCTCCTTCTCCTCCTCCTCCTCCTCCTCCTCCTCTTCCTCCTCGTCGTCGTCCTCCTCCTTTCTCAATCCGGCGGCGCTCGCCAGACGTCAGCCTGCGGGGCCCGTGAGCGGGCCCCGGGGGCCGTCGAAAACGGATCTGGGGCGAAGAAACAGCCCCAGAGGGGGAGGGGTCCTCCACCTCCACCTCCACCTCTCCACCCACTCCTCCTCCTCCTCCTCCTCTCCTCTTTCCTCCTCCTCCTCCTCCTCCTCCTCCTCCTCCTCCTCCTCCTGATCTGGGACCGCGGATTGCAAAACAATCCTATCGGCGGACATCTTCGGGGATGGACAGACCTCCCTTTAGTAAAACGTGGTTTAGTGAAAACGACCTCGGGCCCAAACCTGGCGGGCGCAAGCCTGGAAAATAACGGCCGCGGCGCCCTCTCGAGAACCGAAAACGGACAATTCACTGATCGACGTGTCACTGTTAGGAGGCCTGTCCACCCCCGATATCTGGGAATACGATGTCCATGAAAATGGCGGACAAGTCCTGCCACGCAGTCGCAACTCTTGGGCCGCCACTGTTGAACAGAGTGCTGAACTGCTGTTGCAGGCGCCCTCCCACCCCCTTTGTCCAAATCCTTTGCTCCTTTTCCTCCTGCGCCTCCTTCTCTTCCTTGTTCTTTTTCTTCTGATTAATCTGTTTCTGTTTCTCCTCCTCCTCCTTCTCGTCCTCCTTCTTCTCCTCCTCGTCCTCCTCCTCCTCCTCCTCCTCGTGCATCCCGTTCATGCTGCTGCTGCTGCTGCTGCTGCTGCTCCTCCTCCTCCTCCTCCTCCTCCTCCTCCTCCTCCTCCTCTCGATCCAGTCGGCACGCCTGCGCATCTTGCCACTGGACGAACTCGCCGACGGATGGTAGCCCCGCTGCTGCCGCGGTCGCTCGGGCACCCCGAAGTGTGTGCCAGAGCGCAGGGAACAACCAGCTCACCGGCTCGAGGCGCCAGGGGAGGGGTCCTCCCAGTGGTTTGGCCCTTGTCGGGCATCTGGGGGCCTCTGAAGCCCTCAGGGCTCAATCTTGGGGGACCTGGCCTTTCGTCCCGGAGCACCTGGTGGCGGTTCCGGGGCCCGTGAAGCAGAACATTACGAAAAACCCAGCGGACTCTTTGTTCCAAGACGTCAGGCCCAGAAAGGTCCGACCCCTTTCCAGAGGGGAGCTTCTCGCCCCAGCTCCGTCCGTTTCTGATGGTCCTGGGGCCCGAGATGGGCGAACCAACCAAAAAACGTCGAACATCTGGTGTGACGGCTTTCGGATCACAACTCGGCCCTCTGGCGACCGTTCGGGTCGGGCCCCCCCCGGATGCCCTCGAGGAGGCGCCGACGCTGACAAGCGCCCCGAGGCCGGAGCACCTCCGGGGACTCCCAAAACACGCCCGACGACCTCCAGGCGGAGGATCCAACCATCTGCAGCTGTGATTACCTCGTTGCGGCACCGCTTCCGGTGGAACTCCCTTCGGGGCCACGAACCGTGCGAGGGCTGCGCCAAGATGGGGCGGCGCCGCCCTGCGAGCCCCGCCACATGGGGCCTTCGGTGGAGCTCCCTGCGGGGCCACGAGCAAGGGGTGCGCCAAAAAAGGGGCGGCGCCGCTGCCTCTGGGGCCTTCGGCAGATCTCCGTGTGGGGCCACGAACCGTGCGAGGGGTGCGCCGTACTGGGCCGGCGCCGCCATGTGGACCCTGCCACTGGGCCTTCGGCTGAGATCCCTATGGGGCCACGAGCAGTATGAAGGGTGCGCCAAAATGGGGCGACGGCGCCATGTGGACCCCGTGCCTGGGGCCTTCGGCTGATCTCCCCATGCGGCCACGAGCCGTGTGACACGGTGCGCCACAGTGGAGCGGCGCCGGCATGTGGACCCTGCCGCTGGGGCCTTCGGTGGAGCTCCCTGCGGGGCCACGAAAGGTTGTACTGGGCGTGCCGGAACACAAACGTGCGGAGGGCAGAGGCCAGGATAGGAGGCGGGGGCAGCGGGAGGAGGGAGAACGCGGGGCGCTCTCTTCAAGACGAGGACCCAATCCCCCCAGGATGGCTGGGACAACAGAACGATAGCGTTGGAGATCTGGGCCTTCGTCTGGGAGGGCCCAGACCCCCGACGTCATGCCTTTTTCATGGCGTCGACCCCCAGATAGGGGAACAAAACGTGACATGAACATAAAAACTCGGAGGTCCACGCGGATTTCGTGGATCGGCGCTGGGGCCCCCCGGCGGCGCCTCTGGCGCGCTCCGCGCGCCAGGGAGGGGGGTCCAGCGCCGATCCGAGAAATCCGCGCGGAGCTCCGAGTTTTTATGTTTATGCCACTTTTTGTTCTCCTAATCTGGGTCTTCGTCTGGGAGGGCCCAGACCCCCGACGTCATGCCTTTTTCATGGCGTCGACCCCCGGAGGTCTCGACGCCTTCCCGGGCACCAGCTCCTCATCCCGAGCCGCTGCTTGATAGCTCCGAGGCCCAGTATCAAGGGGCCCAAGGACACGCAAATGAATACACACACACACAAATCAAACGATCCCCCACATTTTCCCAGATGTTCTGGCTTTCGTCTTCCCCCCCTATCAGTGTGTGCTTTTCCCCCTCCTGATTTTCATGGCGTCGACCCCCAGAGGTCTCGACGCCTTCCCGGAAGCACCAGCTCCTCACCCCGAGCCGCTGCTCGACGGCTTCGCGGCGGCCCGCAGGGGGGGGGGGGGCCCCCTCGGAGGCCGAGAACACGGCGAGAGACACTCCCGCCGCTCTCGCGCTCACGACGCGAGGGGGCCTGGGGAGCGAGGGGGCCACGATTCAGTCGGGCGCGTCCCCCTACAGGGGGATTTTCAACGGGCGAAGAACGGTATAACATGAAAATTTTCGCCGTCGGGGACACCTGCCCCAGGGCGGCTGGAAAGTTTATACCCTTACGGTGGCACCGTAGGGGGGATTTTCGACAAAACCTAAAAAATACAAAAACACACACACACACTCACACACACACAATATTCCTAAATGGTCAAACACATGCCAAAAAATAGCCCCCGGACCCTTTGTTGCCTACTTTTGACTATTCGTCCTGTAGAGGGCCGAGCCCGACTTCAGGCCACGACCAAACACATGAAGGGGCCCCAGGACACACAAATAGACACACACAAAGAAACAGATTCCCTATATATTTTCCCACATCTTCTGGGTTTCTGCCTCCCCCCCCACTTCTTCCCACACTTGCCCATATTTTCTTGGGAATCGAGGATTCATTGTGTCTGTGTGTTCCTTTTTTGGGCGCCCGAGTTATCCGGGGTAACTCGGGTCCGGGGTAACTCGGGTTTGGATTCCCGAAAAAGGAACCCGAGTTATCCCTGACCCGAGTTACCCCTGATGATTCGGGGCTCTGGACGCCCGAGTTATCCGGGGTAACTCGGGTCCGGGATAACTCGGGTTCGGACTCCCGAAAAACGAACCCGAGTTATCCCTGACCCGAGTTACCCCTGATGATTCGGGGCTCTGACTTTTCCTCCTGAACACGGGTGCCCCTCGGGGTGCGGCCGGCCGACCGCGGCGCTGGTTGCCCATGGCACGCGCGCCGGCGGCGGCCGCCGGGGGCGCCCCCCGAGCGAAGCCTCGGCGCCGCGGGGCGGTTCCATCGGACGCCTCGGTCGCGGTCCTCGGCCGAGGACGCTCCTCCTCCTCCCCCTCCTCCTCCCTCCTCCTCCCTCCTCCTCCTCCTCTTCCTCCTCCCTCCTCCTCTCCTCCTCCCCTCCACCTCCTCCTCCTCCTCGTCCTCCTCCTCCTCCTCCTCTCCTCCCACTCCCACTCCTCTTCCTACTCCTCCCCCTCCTCCTCCACCGCCTCCTCCTCCTCCTTCTCCTCCCTCGGGCAGGGGCTCGACCGCAAGAAGCCTGCCACAAGAGACCCAACCCTGAGACCCCAGGACGTCCATCGGCTTCTGGTGGCAGCTCCATCAGACGCTTCGACCGCGATCCTCGGCCGAGGACGCCCCTCGGGCAGGGGCTCGACTGCAAGAAGCCTGCCATAAGAAACCCAACCCTGAACCCCAGGACGTCCATTGGCTTCTGATGTGGGAGCGCCACGCTTTCCATCACAAAACCATCGGAACCCAAGAACCCCAGGGCACCCTGGAGGCAAGCAGGCAGGCTGTTTCCTGGCATGGCCCCCACTGTAGATCCTGGCGTGGGGCGTCGCAGAACGCTTCTCAGAAGGCCGGAGGGCTTCTGAGTAACTGTCCCCCCCTCGCTCGCCGCCAACACAGCAGACACATGCACACGTTTGGATCCCCGCGCGGAGCCGTTTCCATGCGCGGCCCGACGGCGGCGTCCAGAGGCCGAGGGGCCGAAGAGAGACCTCGCCCTGGTTGAAACACTCGCGCGGCCCTGGCCTTCCCGCCTCCTGGTGGGGGCACCGCCCCCCCCCCCGCTCGAGTCCCGACCCCGTCCCCAGCGTCTTGGACGCCGCACGGTGGGGCGGGGATAGCGCCTGGGCGTCGCGAAATTTCAAGGGGCCCAAGGACGCACACAGAGAGAGAGAGAGAGAGAGAGAGAAATACACACGAGTACCAATATGCCCCATATCTTCCTATGTTTGCGAGGTTCTTGTCTTCCCCCCTCACTTCCTATATTTTCCCCTATGTTCTCGGGAATCGACGATTAATTTTGTCTGTGTGTTTTTCCCCTCCAGAAAAATTGGGCGTCGTAGCGTGGGGGGGGGGGAGAAAGGTGCATTCTTCGGGCCCTTGAAGCCCCCGTTGGTGCCCTGACGGGCCCTTCTCGGGGCCCTTCTTCTGCAGCCCTCGCCGCCCACGCATTGCATCGCCCCCGCATCACGCAGCGTCCACCATGGATCGCTCCGCCAATACGCGACGCCCAGAAAGATACTCTCGAGATCCTGGCGACTCGACTCTTTTTCGAGCCGGGCGGCTTCGCGTTGCTTCGGGGGCCCCGGGGCCCTCACAGATCGATCCGCTTCGAGAAACGCCGCGGAACGATGGGGGCTGGGGCTCCGTGGGCTGTGCCTATGTTTCAAAACGTCCTGCCACCAGAGCTCAAGGCAAATGGAACGAGCTCGAGGATCGTGCTCGTCTGGGTTCGAGGATCGATCGGTCGAGGATCGCGATCGAAACTGTGGTGCTCGCTCCAAGGATCACACAGCCTCGGTACCCCCAGTCTCTTCCGCCAGTCACAATTGCATCCTCCCTCTCCGCTTCCTCCTGCTCCTCCTCCTCATGTTCCTGCTCATATCTTCCTCCTCCTCCTCCTCGTCCCTCCTCCTCATTCACCTCTCCGTCCACCTCCTCCTCCTCCTCCTTCATCTCCTCCTCCTCCTGCTCCTTCTCCTCCTCCTCCGGCCTCGACGTTATCGCCGTCGCCGTTACTGTCGTCGTCACCGCCGTCGTCGTCGTCGTCGCCACCGTCCTCTCTGTCGCCATCGTCGGAGCAGCATTCGGCACGTCCTGCACAACCAGCGCCAACGTCACTCAGACGTCGCAGAACCCCCTCTGTGGACCCACACTGCAAGTAGTTGAGAAGAGGCTTAGGCATGTCAGCCTCAATGTACTCAGGCACCTGCAGGCCATGGAGGCATGAGCAAAGGCTACCATGAACGATGACAGCGATGGTGACGACAGTGACGAAGACGATGATGGTGATGATGATGTTGATGACGATGATGGTTTTAAAGGTAGTGATGATGGTAACGATGGTGATTATTCTAAAGATGTTGATGATGGTCATCATGACGATGATGCCGATGATGATGATGATGGTGGTGATTGTAAGTACGATGATGGTCATGATGGCGGTCCTAAAGGTAATGAGGATGATGGCCATGATGCCGATTGTGAAAATCATCGTGATGAATACCATGATTGTGATGACGATTCTGATGCTCATAAGTATAATGATGATGGTGGTGATGATGAGTTTTATTTTAAAGAGAACCACGATGACGGTCATGGTGATGCTGATGATGATGACGATGATTGTTATGACGAGTCTGAAGATAATTATGATGATGGTCATGCTGACGATGATTCAAAAGATAATGATGATGATGGCCATGATGATAATGCTGGTGATGATGCTGATGCTGATGGTGATGCTGATCATGATGATGCTGATGATGATGATGATGATGATGATCATCATCATCATCATCATCATCAGCATCATCATGGCGACGGCAATCCAGACGCTCACGATGTCGATGAAGGGGTAGTGGACACAGAAGGATTCGGGAGCCCGACGCCCGCCGACACGCTTGTGTCCATCCGCGGCACCAGGAACTCCCGACCGCTTGCCGCGGGTAGTCCTTCGTCCCGGATCCCAAGCGTGATGGCCCCGCGGCCCGAGAAGAGGGGCTCCGGGCCCCCCAAGGCCGACGTCCAAGACACAAACATCTCCGGCTGCGGAGACGAGACGTCGTCGCAAGTTCGGGGCGCTGCGGCACCCTTTCTCACGGCGGGTGTCGCGACGACTCCCTGCGCTTCCTCACGCACGCCGTGCTGCAGAAGCTCTCCCCCATCGCCTCGAAGGCCTGGCCGAGCAGGCCCTCGCCGCACATGGCGCACCTGGGGGGCGCCGCCAGACGGCGCTCTACAGCAGCGGGGGTGCCAGCGGCAGGACGGCAGCAGCGAAGGCAGCAGCGGAGGCAGCAGCAGCAGGAGCTGCCGCGGCAACGGCATCTCGAGCGCGCCCCCCCCGCAGCCGCAGCAGCAGCGTGCGAAAGACGCACCCGTCGCGGCGCCCGCAGCACCAGCACCGGCAGCGGCGGCCGGAGCACCAGGAGACGGGGCGAGGCCGAACAGAGAGGCAGGCCAGTGCAGAAGCAGCACCTCGCGCTCCTTCCCCCCTCCCCCCCCCTCCTGCTCCTCCTGGCTCTGCCACCCCCTTCTCTCTGCCTCCCACTCCTCCTCTTCCTCCTCCTCCTCCTCCTCCTCCTCCTCCTCCTCCTCCTCCTCCTCCTCCTCCTCCTCCTCCCTTCGCGCTCTGCTCTTTGTAGACACGTCGCTCATTCCTAATTGTGCTCGCTTCTGGTTGCCCCTGGCCCCCTAGTGGCCAGGAAGAGGCCCAGGATAGAACACTTAGAAATGGAAGGATCTTGGCCCCCAAAAAACTCAAGAATTTTCGAAGAATCAGACATGAACCATCTGTACCTCCCACCTCACCCCCTCTCCCCCTCCTCCTCCTCCCGTGGCGCCGACGACCTGCGACCCGCCTCTTGCTGGGCAAAAACTGGCGGTGACGGCCTCTCACGACCGACGGCGCCGACGGTGAGCCTCGACGACACTGACGGATCGCGGGGGGGCGACGGACGACGACGGCCACAACTGGAGGCCTCCCAGATGGGGCCCGAGTAGAGCCGGACTCGATTGGAGAGGACACGCGAGAGGACACAAGACCCTTCCGAGGGCCACGTTGCCACAGCAACGCAGGAGGCATGGGTCGCAAAACACAGGACACGAGGGTACCCTCGATCTGGCAGGGTCGACCTACTCATCCGGGCAGCCCGTAGGTGCGGTCGGAGGCTCGCGCCGCATCGCCGACACGTCGCCGAGGCATCGCCGATGCATCGGCGATGCATCGGCCATGCACAGGCGACGTCGGCGGTACATCCACGACGTCGGCACGGAGAACATTGGGCCCCTCATCGAGCCGCATCGCCGATGCATCGTCGATGCATCGGCGATGCCGCGCGATCCTCCGACCTCATCTACTCCGACCCCATCTAGGAGGCCTGGAACGACGCCCGAGCCAAGTCGGCCCTGGTAGCAATGCGGGGTCCCAGACATCCGGCTGCTCCAACGTTTTCGATGCGTGGGCCCCCGAGGTCTGGACCACTTCCCTCTAGGCCAGTTTTTCGCCAAGAGTCGTTTTGTTGACGCTCCCGAGGCCCGGCGAGAGGCCGAAATCAGCCCAAATCCGACCGCTTCAATTTTTGGCGGGGCGTCGGATCTCTGGGGTGCCAAATTTTGCCCTCGAAGGGCGAGGTTTCCGGACTTCGTCTTGCCTCCAGGAAGCCTCTGGAGGCAGCCGGAGACCCCGAAGGGTCAGGATACACGATACGAGGCTCAAGTCGGGCGTGTCCCCCTACAGGCGGATTTTTGGGCGAAGAGCTAAATATCTTCGAGACAGACTCCAGAAGTGCTCAAGAAGCCAGAAAACAAAATCGTCCCCATATCTCGGGAGCGGCCAAGAGGGGGGTGTCCAAGAGGGGGGGGTGCAAATCATGACCGGCGGCATGTGCGCGGTCCAGCGGGGGGGCCAGGGACGTAATGAAACAAGAAGAGGCGCCCTGAAATCTGGGGAGATATCATGGCCCCCGCCATGATATCCACCCCCCCTAGTCATCACCCCTCTTTTCCGCCCCCGAATATCATTTCTGGGATTATTTTGGATTTCCCCCCCCCCCCCCCCCTGTGGAGAGACAGGCCCGACTTCATGCCGGGCGGCCGTCTCCCGGGGCGCGTCCCGGCCAGAACTGCGGGGTGGGAGGCCTGCGGGCTCGCCGCGGCGACGGGAGCGCCCCCCCGGGAGACGAAGCAGGCGGCTCCTCCTCCTCCTCCCCCCTCCCCCTCCCTCCTCCCCTCTCCTTCTACCTCCTCCTCCTACCTCCTCCTCCCTCCTCCTCCTCCTCCTCCTCCTCTCCTCCTCCTCCTCCTCCTCCTCCTACCTCCTCCTCCTCCTCCTCCTCCTCCTCCTCCTCCTCCTCCTCCTCCTCCTCGGTCCCCGAGCCTCGACGTCAGGATGTTTCACGACGTCGACCCCCAGAGGCCGCGAAAACATCCCCCAGGACTGTCGACGCATTCCGCAGGACTGGATTTGTCACGACGTCGACCCCCAGAGCCGCGACACATTCCCCGGGAGCGGCTTTTGATCCCGAGTCTTTTTTTTGCCGAGCACAGAATACCGGGGCCATGCTCAAGAAACAACCATGATCAAGAGACCCATAGCTTTCCCGATCGTTCTTCAAATAAACCGGGGCCAGTTGCTGTGCTTACGCTGGAGGGCCAGCTTTCCAGCAAGGTGCTTGTGAAAGGCTGGCCCAACTTTTCGGGAGAAGGATTTTTAACCATACGCTAGACTGTAATGATACATGTAGATGTACACTTATGCAGAAATGTATAACACACATTAAAACGACTACATATAGGTGTACATGCATGAATGTCTATAGTCCATACATACACACGTGCGTGGCGACTTCCCAGTTGTTCTGCCACTTCCTGTGGACACCTGTCCTCCCCGGGCACCAGGGACAACCCCTGATACCTCCTTCAGTGCCAATTTTCGAGCATCGACCACATACACCAGGGTAATTTTATTAGGCGTGTCGTTCATGTTCGTGTCTGCATGCTGTCCAACATCTCGACGCACACCAGGCGCAGTGCAGTGCGCGCCTTCTCTGCGCCACTGCGAGGTGCAACGAGGAGGCCGCGGACCCTACGCACACACACACATGCACATGCCAAACACTCTCGCGAACATGCCTCCGATACTCCCTACTAAAGAAGGCCAAGGCCCATCCGCACATGTCCGCACAAGCTCGCACGTGCTCGCACAGGCCACCAGATGCTGCGCGCGAGGTGGTCTGGCCCGCTTCGCCTGAGACATCCTCGCGACTCTGGGCTCACAGATGCAGCGGGCGAGATGGTCCTGCCCCTTTCGCCTGAGACATCCTTTCATTTCTGACGACCTTCCAGACCACCCCAACCCAACCCGAAGACCCGAATTTCGGGTTGGGGGGGCGCGGGTTCCATGTCTGTCTTTTCAAAGTTCCCCGACCCCTCCCCGCTGGAAATGGAGGGCAGATTGCGGCCTTCGGGTTGGCTCGGGGTGGTTTGGTGGGCGGTGAACTCCTGGGCTCCGAGAGGGAGCGGTCGCGCGCGAGGTGGTCCGCCAGCTTCGACCGAGACCTCCCCGCAGCTCCGCGCTCCGAGATGCTGGCGGCCCGGCCACAATCGCTGGACAACGATCCCCCTCAGCTCCGCGCCCCGAGGGAGGCCCTCCACCGGAGCAGGTCCGGCCGCCCCCTTCGCCCGAGGCATCCTCGCAGAGGTGCTGCGCGCCAGGTGGCCCGCGGCACGCGTCGTCAAAGCCGTCGTCACACCTCGGGGGGCCTCTGTCCTCCGTGGGCCACGGGGATCACAAGCTTTGGTCGGGCACGTCCCCATTTACAAGCGGCTTTTGGAGGAAGAGCAAGCAAATGCTCTCGAAGTGTTAAAATATGGCCAACACATGCTCAGCAATCATTGCCAGACTACTCTTCGACAACTCTTGGATCTCCCTCCTGTAGAGGGACATGCCCGACTTCACACCAAGCTCTTCTGGCCCCCCCGCCCCTCGGCATTTCTCCAGCACTGCCGTGGGGGCTGCGCCACTGAAACCTGGCCGCCTGGGGCCACCCTGGGCGACTCCGTCACCTGGGATGCCCCGCCCCCACCAGCAGCCCGGGAAACTCCAGCCCCCCACCACCCTTTTCCTCCTCCTCCTCCTCCTCCTCCTCCTCCTCCTCCTCTTCCTCCATCCCTTGCCCTTATGAATGACTCCTCCCTGTCGCGCCACCACACGTTCGGCGGTTCGCCTGAGACACACCTCCAAGTTATGAGCCTGAAACTTGGAATGTTCAGCAGATTCGCAGATGGAGGGCGGGTGGTCTTCACAATGTATTTCTCGCCCTAGCGGCCCTAGCGCCGCGCGCTTTCGTTGTAAAAGTTTGCAACATATTCAGAGATGGATGGCGGCCCGTTTAAAAATTACCCTGTGACGTACCCAACCCATTCGTACCATGGGAGACGAGGAGTTGGCCGAAACTTGCATGGACAATCGAATTGCAGGATCCGTTTTGATATGTAAGCTACTTGGGACACGCGCCTATGGCATGATGCGCACGAGAACCATACAACAACGAGGGGCGACAACTACAGGCCCGAAGAGGACATGGGGAGTCGGGAACGAAGAGCAGGAGAAAGACGTGCGGGAAACCCACTGCGCTGGACCCCCCAGCAGGCCTCGAAAGTGGCGACAGTTTCACAGATCGCAGCCCCCCAGGGATGGCGAGGTCTAATTTGAATCCGCGGTGACTACCCACTGTGCGGGGCCCCCCATCAGGCCGCGAAAATGGCGACAGTTTCACATATCGCAGCCCCCCAAGGATGGCGAGGTCTAATTTGAATCTGCGGTGGGTACCCACTGTGCTGGGCCCCCCAGCAGGCCTCGAAATTTGCGACAGTTTCACAGATCACAGCACCCCAGGGATGGCGAGGTCTAATTTGAGTCCGCGGTGAGTACCCACTGTGCTGTGCCCCATCAGCAGCCATCGAAACTGGCGACAGTTTCACAGATCGCAGCCCCCCAGGGATGGCGAGGTCTAGTCTGAGTCCGCCGTGTCTACCCACTGTGCTGGGCCCCCCAGCAAGCCTCGAAAGTGGCGACAGTTTCACAGATCGCAGACCCAGGGGATGGCGAGGTCTAATTTGAACCCGCGGTGTGTACCCACTGTGCTGGGCCCCCCAGCAGGCCTCGAAAGTGGCGACAGTTTCACAGATCGCAGCCCCCCAGGGACGGCGAG